AACATATACAAGAGAACTCACAAACACAAAATATTCTCAAGTATACAAACTTATGCCTCTCAAAAACTCTCACACACAAAACTCTTTCCCACATCCATCTATTTATACTAATAGATGTCCTAGGTTTACACAAAGTCCCTAGAATATAGGAAACCAAATCCTATACTAAAACCAAATCCCAAACCAACTAGGAAACACAAATCTAAATATCTTGCGTCCAATATATCCTAATCCTTTTTAGTTTAGGCATGTTGGTTTAATGCCAAATCCAACAATCTCCACCTTGGCATGAAATCCATAACGAGACATCCAACAAATTCCATTGTTTCACCATATCACAAGATCAAACTTGCTTCTACTTCACCAAATCCAAGTAGTGCTCGAACTTAGCTACATTAACCACCTTTGTCAACATGTCAGCTGGATTGTCTTCTGTAGCAACCCTTTTTAGATAAATCTCACCTTCAGCTACCACTTCTCTCACAAAATGATATCATACATCAATGTGCATAGTCCTAGCATGATGTGCCTGATATCTAGCCAAATAAATGGCCCTTTGGCTGTCACGATATACATCCAACTTGTGTTGTTCTACACTTAAATCTCCTAACAACCTTAGAGTCCACATTGCTTCTTTGATAGCTTCAGTGATTGCCATGTATTCTGCTTCTGTGGTTGATAGTGCCATCATTGGTTGTAATATTGATCTCCAGCATATAGGACCCTTTGCCATAGTAAACACATACCCAGTCATCGATCTTCTCTTGTCTAAGTCTCGAGCTAAGTCTGAGTCCACATATCCAACTGAGAACTCATCAATTCCTTAATCACATCTTTCAAAACAAGTACCTTTATCCCTCATTCCATGTAAATACTTTAGTATCCACTTAGCAGCATTCTAATGCTGTCTTCCAAGATTATGCATGAATCTACTAACAATTCTAGCTGCGGTGCTATATCAAGACGAGTACACACCATAGTATACATTAATCCTCCAACCAAATTAGCATATGGAATACCATCCATCTTCATCTTTTCTTCATCAGCTTTAGGACATTGTTGACTGCTCAACTTGAAGTGAGCACCTAATGGAGTTCCTACAGGCTTAGTGTCTTTTGTTACTCCAAACTTTTGTAACAACTTCTCAAAATAATGCTTCTAAGATAAATACACCAAACCTTTTTGTCTATCCCTTGTGATATCCATTCCCAATATTTTCTTGGCTTCACCAAGATCCTTCATTTTGAACTCCCTTCTCATTTGCTCCTTCAACTTTTCTATCTTTGAAATATTGCTTGAGGCTATAAGCATGTCGTCTACATAGACTAACAAGTACACGAACGAACCATCTTTCAACTTCTTGTGATAAATACAATGATCATAGTGACTTCTTGTATAGTCTTGACTCTTTACAAACTTGTCAAATCTTAAATACCACTACCTGGGCAACTGCTTCAAACTATAAAGAGATTTTCTAAGCTTACAAACCAATCTTTCTTTGCCCTTCACTTGATACCCCTCCGGTTGTCTCATAAATTTCTTCATCCAAATTACCATGAAAGAATGCAGTCTTCACGTCTAGTTGTACCAATTCAAGGTTGAATTGTGCAACTAGTGTAACATCCCACATCGCCCAGGGGAGTGATCCTTATATGTATATTCCCATCCCTACCTAGCACGAGGCCTTTTGGGAGCTCAGTGGCTTCGGGTTCCATCAGAACTCCAAAGTTAAGCGAGTAACGCGCGAGAGCAATCCCATGATGGGTGACCCACTGGGAAGTTCTCGTGTGAGTTCCCAAAAACAAAATCGTGAGGGCGTAGTCGGGGCTCAAAGCGGACAATATCGTGCTATGGTGGTAGAGCGGGCCTGGGATGTGGTGGACCCCAGGCCGAGATGTGACAATTTGGTATCAGAGTCTAACCCTAGCCATGGTGTGCTGATGAGGACGTCGGGCTCCTAAGGGAGGTGCATTGTAACATCCCACATCGCCCAGGGGAGTGATCCTTATATGTATATTCCCATCCTTACCTAGCACGAGGCCTTTTGGGAGCTCACTGGCTTTGGGTTCTATCGGAACTCCGAAGTTAGGCGAGTAGCGTGGGAGAGCAATCCTATGATGGGTGACCCACTGGGAAGTTCTCGTGTGAGTTCCCATAAACAAAACCGTGAGGGCGTAGTCGGGGCTCAAAGCGGACACTATAGTGCTATGATGGTGGAGCGGGCCTAGGAAGTTCTCGTGTGAGTTCCCAAAAACAAAATCGTGAGGGCGTAGTCGAGGTTCAAAGCGGACAATATCGTGCTATGGTGGTAGAGCGGGCCTGGGATGTGGTGGACCCCAGGCCGAGATGTGACAATTTGGTATCAGAGTCTAACCCTAGCCATGGTGTGCTGATGAGGACGTCGGGCTCCTAAGGGAGGTGCATTGTAACATCCCACATCGCCCAGGGGAGTGATCCTTATATGTATATTCCCATCCTTACCTAGCACGAGGCCTTTTGGGAGCTCACTGGCTTTGGGTTCTATCGGAACTCCGAAGTTAGGCGAGTAGCGTGGGAGAGCAAAATCCTATGATGGGTGACCCACTGGGAAGTTCTCGTGTGAGTTCCCATAAACAAAACCGTGAGGGCGTAGTCGGGGCTCAAAGCGGACACTATAGTGCTATGATGGTGGAGCGGGCCTAGGATGTGGTAGACCCCAGGGCGGGATGTGACAACTAGGGCAAGCAATATTCGAATGGAGAAGTGCTTAACCACAGGAGAAAAAATCTCATTGTAATTTATTCCCTCATTTTGAGCATATCCTTTAGCCATTAGCCTAGCTTTAAATCTTACCAAGATCTTGTCATCCCCTCCATCCTTCTTTGCATATACCCATTTGCAGCCAATTGCTTTCCTTCCTCTAGGCAGCTCCACCAATTCCCAAGTTTTATTCTTATAAAAGGGGAGCATTTCTTCATCCATTGCATCATGCCATTTACTCTCTTCTTCACTATTTACAACTTCTTCAAAATTAGTGGGAATTTCAACCTCAATTATTGGCAATGCATATACCATGCAAGCCATGCAATCTTTATATCTCATAGGTAGGGTTATGTCTTTTTTTCCGTTCCCTTTGGCTATGCAATCATCTTGTATCTTTAGTTCTTCTTATGGTGTTTCTTCTTCGTGTCATTATCTTCATGTTCAAGTTGATCACCTTGTCATTCTTCTTCCACAACTTCCTTACTTGGCTGTGAATTCACAATTACTTGTTCCCCAAGCTCCACCATCTGAACATCTTCCTTCAATTTCATGTGACTTTCATCGAATGTCACATCTCTACTTACTATAATCTTGTTCAACTCGGGACACCAAAGTCTAAAGCCTTTCACACCACTATTGAATCCCATAAAGACATCTTTCTTGGCTCATGGATCTAGTTTGTTTTCCTTCACATGAAAGTAGGCATTGCTTCCAAACACTCGTAGCTTATCGTAGTCTTAAGCTGGTTCTCTAGACCACACTTCAATGGGTGTTCTACCCTTTAATGTTGTTGATGGTAGTCAATTAAGCACATAACATGCATAGCTCAAAGCTTCTACCTAAAATCTCTTTGGCAGGTTAGCTTAAGATAGCATGCAACAAACTTTATCAAGCAAAGTCCTATTTAGTCTTTTTGCAATCCCATTCTACTGTGGAGTATGTCTAACACTACAATGTCGAGTAATACCTTCATTTTTATACACTTTGAAGAAATGATCAGAGGTATATTCCCCTCCATTGTCACTTCTTAGTATCTTAATCTTCTTTCCAGTCTTGTTCTCCACCATGTTCTTCCATTCCAAGAAGATGTCCAGAACCTCGTCATTTTGTTTCATCATATATATCCATGATCTGCAAGAGTAGTCATCAATAAAAGATACAAACCATCTTTTTCCACCTAAAGAAGCATTCTTTGTAAACCCTCAAACATCAGAGTGAACATAGTCCAATATCTCTTTCGTTTGATTAACAACTGAGCCAAATTTCACCTTTGTTTGTTTGCCAAGAATGCAGTGCTCATAGAACTCTATCTTTCCAGTTTTTGCTCCTTTTAAACACCATTGCTTGATCAATCCTTGCAATGCTTTTTCTTCTACATGTCCCAACCTTATGTGCCATAATGCAAACAAGTCACTTTTATCGCTTTGCACTTCATCAACTACTATACCCACTCCATTTTCCAAAGTCTTTACTTGTAGCATAAAAAGTAAGCCATTCCAAAGCCTTTTCATTATGACAAGTGCTCCTTTAGCAACTTTGAGCACGTTGTTATCGGAGTAAAACTTGTAGCCTTGTGACTCGAGAGTGGCAAGTGAGATCAAATTTTTCTTTAGATTTGGGACGTAACTTACACCATGCAATTCTCAAATCACACTATCATGATTCTTGATCTTGATGCTTCCAATTCCTTAAGTTGTACATGGGTTATCATTTCCTATACACACAGTTCCATTCATAACTTTGAAGCTTGAAAACCAATGTCTTTGAGAAGTCATGTGATGGGTACAACCTGTGTCAAGACCCACTCTTTCATATAATCCACAGTGCTCGATGCAGTTAGGGCATAGACAAATTCCTCATCCTCGACTTCAATCATATGTACTTCTAAGTCATCCTTCTTCTTTCTAGTATTTTCTTTGATTTTAGGGCAGTTATTCTTCCAGTGTCCTTTTTCATAACAAAAAGCACACTCATCTTTGTCCAAGAACTTCCTATTCTTTGAGACTCCTCTAGTATAAGACCTACTATTTTTCCTGTACGAACCTTTCTTTTCTTTCTATCTCCCTCTCACCATCAAAGCTTCAGAGTTATTCCTTTCTTCTCTCTCAAGGTGTCTGACCTCATGATTCATAAGAGCACTTGAGATTTCATCATACTTAATTGTCTTCCTTGCCACAAATCCAAGTAGTCACGAAAGGCACATAGGATTCAAGCAATGAGTTCATCAGGATCAAGGGCTTGTCTTCATCTTTGATTATCTATTCAAGATTTGCCAGTTCAGCTAAAAGCTTGTTAAACTCTTCTAGATGGCCAATCATCATCGTTCCCTCTTTGTACTGGAACCTGTACAACTTGCTTTTGAGATGCAGTAGATTCTTTACAATCTTCTTCATATATTTTGTCTCCAATGCAGCCTACAATTCCTTCGCAGAAGTTATGTTCATCGTACCATACTTTTGTTGCTTTCCCAAGCATAGCCGAATTGTAGAAATGCATGAGCATTCAGTCTTTCCCATTCTTTTTTTTTTCATCGAAAATGACATGTCTCCTAACACAACAACCAAACCTTGCTGTATCAGGACATCTCGAACCTCACATTGCCACATAGCAAAGTTGTTCGTTCCATCAAATTTCTCAATTTCAAACCTAGTACTTTGAACCGTCATCCTGGTTCCACTAGTGCCAGACTTTTCTTCAACATCATCACTACTATTGGAATCACCAGTCTTCGTCATTGCTTGATAGTCACAACCCATGTAAGAATCTAAGCTCTTGATACCACTTGTTGTAATCTAAACCAAAAATCAATCAAGCAATAAACAAAACACAACGATTTCAAAGTTCCTCCAATATAGGAGTACCTCTCTAACAATGGAAGCTTTATTGATTACCAACAAATAAAAGAGAACTCACAAACACAAAGTATTCTCAAGTATACAAACTTATGTGCCTCAAAAACTCACACACACAAAACTCTATCCCACATCCATCTATTTATACTAATAGATGTCCTAGGTTTACGCAAAGTCCCTAGAATATAGTAAACCAAATCCTATATCTTATTATTATTTATTGATGGGTGCATATTTTCATATATTATTATCATATATTTCCTTTGGATTTTGTATATATGAATGGGTTAAATGCACTAATTTATATTGTTTTAATTTATAGGCATTCAATACCGGAGTTATGCAAAAAAGGAGTGAAAAACGAGCTTTTCGGGTGTCTAGAGTAATTTTAGTGGAGCGAGAGACTAATTAACTACACGAAGACAAATGCATGAAACTGCAACGGTTTTGGAGATCAAATGGACATGGGAATGCTATTCAATTGACTTTAGGAGAGAACTTAATTATTAGTTTTATTATTTTTGTTTATTTTTCTTTTCTTTAATAAGGACTTGAAAGTCCATTAAGCTAGGATTAATGGTCATTTTAATTGGCCTTTAGTAACCTTAGCCGTAGGTTTTATATGTGGAGATTGATTCTCCATTGTAAAGTAAGGATTTATCCACCAAAACAAAACAAAAAAAAAACATATATTCTATATAGTGGGGCTGCGGCAAGGTTGTGGCAAAGAGGAGAGCTACTTTGGAGTTTTTCTTTACTAGGGCTACGATGTAACCTAATCATGAATACTTAATTGCCTTGTGGCATTGTTATTATCATGTTTTTCTTCTTTATTGAGTATCTTTTACTATTCGTAATGCGTTTGATTTTTATTTAGATGCTTGATCACCATCTAGGTTTAAATTAGGTTGATTTGATGCAAGTTAGAGTAGATGCCATACTTAACTGCAATTGATACCATAACCACCTATTTGTAGATGCCATACAATTAGGGTTTGTGTGATTTTCCAATGATTTCCATAGAGCTTAATGGGTTCTTACTTGTTTAAATCCATCTAGATGCCATAGCGGGTTAATATGTAAGGATATTTTTGATGTAACCAGATGCCATGGCTGTCGAATAATTTAGGGAAAATCGATCATCAATATTGGGAAACTACTTGAGCATAACATATTAAGGGAATTAAGTAGAATTGGTTACGGTGAATTCGGATGCCCTAGGTTTTATTTTCTTATGTTTTTAATTTAATTATTTCATGCATTTTATTTTAAAGTCATATTTTATTTTTAGTTTAATTATCAAATCTTTTCCATTAAAGCTAAGTCTTTCCCATTCTTCTTTTTTCATCGAAAACAGCATCTCTCCTAATACACCAACCAAACCTTGTTGTATCAGGACATCTCGAACCTCACATTGCCACATAGCAAAGTTGTTTGTTCCATCAAATTTCTCAATTTTAAACCTAGTACTCTGAACCGTTGTCTTGGTTCTACTAGTGCCAGACTTTTTCTTCAACATCATCACTACTAGTGGTATCACCAGTCTTCGTCATTGCTTGATAGTCACAACCTACATAAGAACCTAAGCTCTTGATACCACTTGTTGTAATCTAAACCAAAAACCAATCAAGTAATAAACAAAACACAACGATTTCAGAGTTCCTCCAATATAGGAGTACCTCTCTAACAACGGAAGCTTTATTGATTACCAACAAATACAAGAGAATTCACAAACACAAAGAATTCTCAAGCATACAAACTTATGCCTCTCAAAAACTCTCACACACAAAACTCTATCCCACATCCATCTATTTGTACTATTAGATGTCCTAGGTTTACACAAAGTCCCTAGAATATAGGAAACCAAATCCTATACTAAACCAAATCCCAAACCAACTAAGAAACACAAATCCAAATATCTTGCGTCCAAGATATCCTAATCCTTTTTAGTTGAGGCATGTTGATTTAATGCCAAATCCAACACCTCCTTCCCTCCTTTCCTCCTCTCTACTTTGCCTTTTCCATCTTTTTCCTCGTTTCTCATCTTCTCTTCCCTATCCCCCTCCCTGTATCCACCTCCTCTTCCTATCCCCTTTCCAGTCTCCTTTCATTTTTATTCCCAGTTTCCCCCATGCTTATCTCAGTTTCCGTTGCTATCCCCTATGCTTGTCTCAGATTTGGGTTTCATGCCCCTTATCTGACATTTTTTGCCTACTTTTACTGCTTTCTGTCTTTTAATTTTCTTTCCTCCCTCCTCAGTGATCTCCATCCCCATCCTACCATGTACTCGGATCGGCAGGCACCGATCAGAAATTGGATTCAAGATCCACTACCCTCCTTCACTTTCCCTCCCTAACCGGCATGCCAGATTCCCGTCGAGGCCAAGTGTTGGGTACTTTAGATACCCCTTAGCCTCACTCTCTATCCATATGATACTTTGTTTGTATATGTTTGCAGGAGCTTGTGAAGAGGACTTGGACTGGTGTCTATTCTCTCAGTTTAGAGTTTGGCTTCCTCTGAAGATGTGGTGGCGGCGGCGGTCTAGTTTATGCTGCTTGAGACTAAGGTTTTTTGTTGTTGTTTGTTATCGCAGCCTACAAGCCTAAGTTTGTGAGGGCCTCCCGTTGTATTTTGGGTTGCAGCTCTCACTTTGTTTGGGCCTTTTACTTTATCTGATGTTGTTTTCTTGCCAACCAAACACATTACGAATTATATATTCAATTGGAGCAGAACACTGTTTAGGTTTATATCTTTATTGCAAGTATTTAAGTACTGTAATAATCTTTTTATTTTATTTGGTATTGATTTTATTTGTATTTTTCGATTAGTTTATAGTCGAGGAGGAGACCTGGGAGCCCAAGGAGGAACAATGTAAATCTTGGACCTGTACTCTGTGACAGAGGGCATGTTTTGATGTTGCTCATATTTTTGCCTCATTTAATGATAACTTCATTGTAACTGCCATATTTTTTGTTTTGAATGTGATTATCATTTTCATTTGTAGTTGAATTTTTCTGTGAAGTTAATGATTTTTGTTCCTTATTGTAAATAGGGTTGTAAATAGATTTTTGTTTGTAAATAGTATTAAGTATCATTTATATATTTAAAACTTTCTACATATTTTATAAGGTTTTAGGCCTGCAGCATCGCACAGGGACTCGCTAGTTATAATCTAAGCCATTGCTCTCCAGATATAAATTTTGTATCCAGAAAAGGCCTTATCTCCTCCAAGCTGAAAGACTTCAACCATGGCACCCTCCCGCTTCTTTCTGCTCCTCTGCCCCTGCATTTATATTCTCCGAAATCCACTGTCCTGTGTCAACGAAAACTTTCAGTTTTAGAAACAATAGAGATAATCTGATAAGATGAAAATATTGTTCGAGTGAAAGAGGTTATATTTACTTCTGCCTGGATGGGTAGTTCCAGTCGCTCCACCCTGGAGGAGTTATTATATCATCGAAATGACAGTAGGAATACACCGCTCTTGAATAATTTCCCCAAGCTCTTCCCAAGTAGATGTAGCCGGTTCCGATGATTTTGCAGTTTACAAAAGAGAATCCCGTGTCTTCATACGGTGAGTCCCTGTGATGAGCTGCTATTGCTCCCGAGTTCTCAGCCGTTGATTGAATAACACACTCCTGATTGCAAGGGCCAGATTCAAGATTTAGTATCATGAAGAAACTTGGGGACCAAGTTACAGAAATGCTAGACGTTTGGAAATTTGTCGTACCTGGTAGAGTGATCTTGATCTGCCGAAAATGAAGTCCACATTTCCTTGAATGTGACAGTGGTAGAAGTAGTGAGATCCAGTCTCGTCCAAGAGCGTATCCTGCGTCCCCAAAACCCGAACTCTGTAGAACATGGCTTTGTCACCCGCAACTCTAAGCGCCACTGCTTGCATTCCATATCCTCCAGGCACTGCAACCACTGTGTTCTGCAATCACCACTTAAAATTGCGGACACTGAAACTTCCTCCATTCAATTTTAACATAGCATCGCATCATCTTATAAAAGTAAGAACCCACGTTCGTTATTAGTTATTACCTCGAAGGTGATCCCAGTTGCGCAAAAGTAATCAGCCTCTATGGCTACAGAAGCAGTTCTATATGTTCCGAGTTCGCAACCGGTGCCGTCCTTATCAGATGCCTTGTTGTTCCAAGTAATCACAGTTTCAGAAGTATTTTTCTGGTTCCCAATAAATGATATGTATGGCTTCGAAATCGGTACAAGTACCTTCTCTCTGCATCAATTTACAAATGAACAAAAAATAATGTAAAAATTAAATTTTGAGAAGCGAATTATAGCGATACTAGCAAACTGTACCAACACCTACAAGTGTGCTTGAGAGAGGCTAAAATAATTTTATTTAATTTATTTAATTTTTTATTTTGATATAAGACCTGTTATGTTTACATGACTTTGAGGGTGCGCCAAAAAACAACGAAATTATAATGCATGTAATTACTAAGTTGACCATGATTTATTTTTTTTCAATTTTAATGAGAGAGATAGAATGATAAGTTGAATATTGTGCAACGAATAAGACTAACAAAATAATAAGAATATTATTAAACAAACGAAAATACCGAAACGGCTACAAAACCCTAAGAGACTATATTGTGGCTAACTTATTTCTCAAACTAAATTACAAGCAATATTTATAGAGAACTAAACCTAAAAAACCCTAATTCGGAAGGGCTAAGCCCAAATCCTAAACTAACAAGCAAAATCCAAATACTAAAATAAACCTAAATACTAATATTTTCCAACATGATATTTTTCTAGAGTTCTGGTTAACAGAAGTTCTTTATTAATTTGTAGTTTAGATATGGGTAAATTTTTCTCTAATTTTTTTTTAGTAAACAGTTTTTAGGAAAAGACACCCACTAAAAGCAAATGTAGCTTAGCCACGTAGCTCAACTGGGTTTAAACTGACCCCTCGAAAACGCTAAAAACTTCAAAAAAAAATATATATATATAATATCTGAAAATTCTTTGGTGTTTTGATGAATTGAAATGTTTTTGTTAATGGTGCAAAGAAATTACAACGAGGATCCTCGAGAGATCAGTGAAATGTCATTTGCATGCAATGAGTGAAATGTTGCTCAGACCTACCTGTAAATTCCAGGAAGAATGTAAATTTTGATTCTTTCTGTATTTTGTTCCGGAACCATGTCAACTGCTCCTTGAACTGTAAGAGAATCTCCTCCTCCATTCTTGTCAACCACAATGATCCGGCTTCCATTAACGCGTTCTTCTTTCGTGTTCAACCCCAACTTACGGTCATCCACCTTCAAATCATCCCAGCTGATATAATTCCTTGCAAATGATTCGCTTTGCGAGAACCCGACCTTAATGCCACCCAAGAAAAATAACACAAAACCACCAACACAAACACCCAAGACACTGAATCCCATGGCACCCTCAAAGATTCTCTGACTCAAACTGTTTTGAAAATCTGTGAAACAAAACTAAGAAATGCAAGAAAACAAGAAAAACCCAGCAGCAGGATGTGTGTTGTTAGCCCAAGTTTCGAAGATTTGTTTGGGTTTTTTGGAGTTGGGAAGAAGGGAAAGAGGTGAAGATAATAAACGAGGGAGCGTGGGGTGTTGCTGCTTATGTTCCTTGTCAAATATAGAGAGCAGCATAAGAACAAGAACCATTATATAAAAAATTAAAACTTAAAAAACTAGATTTATATATGGAATTTAAAGATCACACAAACACACACACACATACAACAGATCCCAGATATCTGTAGAGAATTTAAGGTTGGCGGAATTTAAAGAGACTTGCGTCAGTCATCAAATTTGTGCTAAAAGCAAAACAAAAACATAATTAAAATGCTTAAATGTGGAGTTAATATTTTGATTGAGCTTCTAATCAGGCGAGTTATAGTTTGCTTAGAAGATAAAACGATCTTTAACTGAAGAAGCCAAAGAGCGGTTATGCTTTCTTAGGTGATGATTTTGAAAATGAAAAAAAAATGAAAAGGTAAAAATGCCAAATGAGATTTTGAATGGGATTTTGATTATATATATAGGTGTGTATATATAGCTGCAGTCTCTTTGCATGAGGATTTGAGTAAAATGGCTGAGGATTCAGAAATCGGTCACACGCATGGAGCAGTTCACATGTTATACACCTACGTCAAATTATAGACTCCCAATTCTCTTTTTCCCAAAACTGCTGCATTTAATTAATTTTTGATATCATTTTCGTGTAGAATCATAAGTAAAATTATATAAACTCATACACTAAATAAAATATATGGAAAAGAGAAAAGTTGGAGAGAAATGTGTGTGAGAGAGAGAGAGAGAGAGAGAGAGAGAGAGAGAGAGAGAGAGAGAGAGAGAGAGAGAGAGAGAGAGAGAATGCGGGTTTTTTTATTTTTTTTATTTTAAAGTACAAATATTATGATAACATGTGGATGAGGTTTGAAAAACAAATAGAAAAAAATAGTTTATGCGAAATTACATTACTGCTCATTATTTTATTTTTTGTGATAGAAAACTAAATTGTTTTCACTCTCTTTTGATTGACAAATAAAATTTTATTAATAAGGATAATTGACTATTTGAATTCTCAAGCTAACAAATGATAGGTCTTTATTAGGAAGGAGTTACAATCATTTTTTAACAAGTACAACTGCACAAGTGATAACAAGGGAGGAGAATTCAAACTCGATACCTCGGGCATAAGGGTTAATGTTCTTAACTCGGTCTTTGTAAAATTTGAGCCTTTTTAGAGCTAGTTTTCTTTTAGCTTCAAGTAGTAAATTAGTAATCGAGTTAGATACCGAAATAACAATAATCGCGAGGTGTGAGATGCAACATCATTTGCCTATATGACTATATGTGCATGTGGGTTTATTCTAAACTTATTACTAGCGAGAATATTATGTATCATATCAATTGATTATTTAAAAGGAAACTTTTATGAAAAGAGTTTGGGCTAAGTTTATTTTAACAAAAAACCATGCTATAACTTTATTTAATGAAAAAGAATCAAAATTTAATGAAAACTCTTAAATTTTAATAAAAAGAACAAAAAAAACTTAATTTTTAATGAAAATGACACAATAAAAAAAAATCTGACGCTCGCAAGACCTATGCACTATTTATAAAACTGAACACTGTTTATGAAACTGAATACTATTTATGAAACTGAACACTGTTTATGAAACTGAACACTATTTATGAAATTGAAACTATTTATGAAACTACACTAGTTATGAAACTAAACGGTACTATATTATTTATTGGTCCAATTTCATAAATAATGCCTAGTTTTTTGTCCACTTTCATAAATAGTATCTAGTTCTTGATCATGTTTAATAAATAATGCCTAGTTATTGGGTCCAGCTCATAAATAATGTATAGTAATTGGTCCACTTTCATATATAGTGCCTAGTTATTGGTCATGTTTCATAAATATTGTCTAGTTCTTACTCTAGTTTCATAAATAGTGTATAATCCAGTTTCATAAATAGTTTCCACCTATTGGTTTAGTTTTGGAAATAATGCCTAATTCTTGTTTTCGTTTCATAAATAGTGTCTACTTATTAGTCATGTTTAATAAATAGTGTCTATTTATTGGTCTAGTTTCATGAATAGTGTCTACTTATTGGTGAAGTTTTATAAATAGTGTTTAATTCTTGGTTCAGTTTCATAAGGTTTGAAACTTAAACTCTTTTTAGTCCTGTAAAAGCACCCATTGTGCCGAAAACGATGAACCCAGACGTGACTTTTTAAATCAAAACCTTGAGAAGATTATGTTCTTAGTAATTATATTTAAAAAGCTGTTTTCAATTACCAAATTAAAATTTCCTCACTTTTTTCGTATACCTACAATAATAAATGTAGCTCTCCATCCAATTTCTTGAGATTGGGTGTCATCTTGGAGAAATTTTTTCTTTTGTCCGTAACACAAATAGTATATCACGTGTTATTATATAAGTGGTGAAATTTTTTATTTTTTATGTTATTAATTTTTTAACATAAGAATCTCACAACTTGTATAAAATGTATCACCCCGTGTTCTGAGCACATTGAAAAATTCCTCTTCATCATGACTATTATTGGAAAATAACACCACAAAAATAAAATAGGAGAATGTAATTCAATTCGAAGTTTTTTTCTTATTCTAAGCCAAAAAAAAAAAACCATAAATGTAGTTGACGATAGGACAAAAAGATAGGAGGAAAAAGTGGAGTGTTTGAAGTTGGGGTGGGGACGGGGGGGGGGGGGGTACGCGCCCCAGCGCAAGTTGGGTTTGTTGGGTTTTTTTTATTTTTTATTTTTATCTTTCTTATTAGTCTTTTGTCTTTATTATTAAAATAAAGTTAGTGTGTGTTTTTTTTTATTAAAATGTAAAGATTTGAAACCTTTTTCATTAATGTACTATAGATACATAAATTGATTACATAGCAGTCACATAATTTGGTGACTTATTTTACTTTCATTAAACTTAAGTCAATAAAAAATTAACGAACTTGAAAACTCTTCTACTATTGAATAGAGAAGTGCGATAATTGATAAATAAGTTTACTTGCACAATTTATGGACATTCTGAGAAGTACTTATCCTAGCATGATAGAAATGGATATGCATCTTCCATATTTTGTCCCCATACTGAATAACTTTTACTTGCCTTAATTAGTTCCATTGTGACCATAGGCTTCCAAGTTGTAGGCATGCAAAATAAATGACAACAATTCTTTGCTTTTTAACAAATTTAATCTCTTACGTCACGTTTTTATTTTGATACAGTAGGAATAATAATGCACAAGAAATACATTTGTCAATTTACTAAAGAACAATTAAGGCAAGTCGCGTTCTTTTTTCTGCTTGTCATCTCTTTTTCAAGCAACGATAGTCACTAACACGACAAGCAAGATCAATTCCCGGATTTCGCAACTCTATTGTAATAAACTAGTCAATTCAATAATTTGCAAATAAGTAATATTCGTGCGAAAGAATAAATAGCTATGTGATTGTTGAGATTTAAACAATTTATGGGAACTTGTAAGTTGTGTTTATCGTACCAAATAAATACAAAATTTAGAAACTCTAGTATCTGACATCTCACATCAGTAAATACGTTGCTAAAGTAGTTTTAAAGGAAAATGCATTTTTCATCTTACGAATGATTCGCACCTTTGCCTCATTCCTTGTAAGTGTAGAACTCCTTGCGTCAAATTTCAACAGCATTTATGGGATCATTTTTTGAGAAAATCAAAAGTTACACATTCTTTCCACCATCATGGCCGCACTAAACATGTTTCCAAATTGTGGTAATTTTGCTTTTGGCGAGTTGCGCACTTCCAATGTTGGCGCATTTGGATGACTCGCCGGCCGTGGTTGAGTGCAAAAAACATTTCAGCATAAAGTATGCATTCGACGTGTACAACTATATTTTCCAAGAGAAGAAAATTGGTGACGGTAGTTGCCGGGCACTTGGGGCGATGGGAATACCGTGCCATAATGTTTTCGTAAACAGTACTTTTACTTATGAACACACCGGGAACAGAACTATCATTCAAGCCAGGGCTGATCGCGTATTTAATCATCGTACAATTGTAAATTTTGTCCCTCCTTCTCTATCTTAAACAGAGAATTGAACTTCTCTAAGGCTAAAAAATTTGTGGGATGTTTCATGAGTTAGAATAAAATTTTGATATATTTGATTTGATGGCTTATTACGACTTAACTTTGTTACTCTAAGTTATAAAGCATTTTCTTCGTGATTGAGGAATGAACAATAGCAATAAAACAACTACCACGCTAATTTAGAAAACTGCGTGAAACATCGTAAGTAATATAGATCAATTTTACATTTGTTCGGCCTTTACATGTACATTACGTTCCGATGTTGCAGCTACACCGCATATTGATATGTCATGCTTATCTTTTTAGAAAATTAAATTGATCGGCTAGATTCAGGCATGTGTGAAATTATTGTCGAGACATGGTTACCCGTATGATCGCAATCTTCCTTGTAACAGTCATACGTGCCTTCTTTATTGTTTCCGGATCTAAGTTGAGAAAAATGGAAACTTCGCCATATTGTATTGCTAAACATTCTTACCAAACGATGTTGAAATAGGTTTATGAACGACTCTTGATCCACTCTCATTAGAATTGTGATTCAAGTTGTTATGCACATAGCACAGTTTATAGAAGTGTTTCATTTTGTACACCTTAGCATCTTTTTTTTTTGTCTGAATAACAAAAACTAAAATATTTGTTGAATGATTCGACACTAATCATGGACATAACTTCATCTCATTAACGTAATATTCAAGCGTGTGGGACATGAGTATTATGCCATATGCACTAGGGTGCGATATTATATTTGTGCGAAAATCAGTTTACCAGAAAGGGGTGCTCATTTTCTTAATCTATTGTACTTAACG